TGGGATTATCTCAGCACAAAAGCCAAATGCTAATAATAATAATAATAATATAAATATCTAAAATCACAGAGGTTTGTTAAAAAATGGTTAGCAATAGATAATTTGCAGAGAGCAGACTAAAACGTGTAAAACTTTTCTCATCCTTATAGAAACAAATAAGGATATTTTTTGTCCAATCAAAACTTTTGAAGCCTAACAAATCTTAAATCCACCTTGAACAGCAGCAAACTGATATTGCTGACTCTTGTTAAATTGTCRTCGATACGACCCTAAAGTGAACCTTAAATGTCTACTGTACAATTCAGTTTCAGTAACTTGCTAATTACAAATGAACTATCTGCTTTGAAGCCACATTCCTCTGAACTAACCCGGGAACAAACTTGCGCATAGATGGTGCAACCCAGTGCAGGTCCACAGCCTGCATTATGTGCTATGTTACACTGAAACAGAGCTCTGTTTGAGYGTGGTCCAGCTCCTCTCAGCCACCTCATCCCCTTAAAGGTGTTTATCATATGGTTCGCATCTCATACTGAATGTGTTTTCCTTTTTCCCTTTTTTTATTTATTTATTTATTTTTTTTTTACAAAAGACCACATTTTCTGAATTTCTACAAGCCCTCCATAATACTGAAGACAAAAACCTTCAATTTGTTGTCGTTTTGTTGGTTTCAGTTTGGTTTTCACTTCAAGTTGACTTGGCAAAAATCAAAAAGGGGGGTGGGGGTCGACACCAGCACCCCAGCAGCTGACAATGRTCATATACAAACAGCACACTTCTATGGGTGCCTTTTTTTATTTGTCGTCATTATACAAACTGGGCGGTGGTGGGGGGTTTGGGAGAGTTGGACGCAAATCACAGAAAGGCAGATCTAACAAATAAATCTCTTACTGTTTTAATTTGGTCCAGCCTTTTAGATAAAAGAACAGTTGGTGTTTGGTTGATGTGGGAGCCAGGCCTGGTCGAATGAGGATTTGGCCACTGTACAAAGTCTATGCAAATATGGTGAATGACGGCTCCCACGGTTATGTGTGCATCTGGTTTATTTTTATTGTTTTCTGGCTCTGAAATTGGGATGGTAGTGTAAGTGGTTGCTCTGCTTCTGGGTCACCTCTCCTCTAATCATCCCCGTCATCTTTTCCTTTATCCTTCTTGTCCTTCTTGTCCTTCTTCTTCTTTTTCTTCTTCTTGGCCTCCTCCTTCTTACCAAAGCTTATGAAATCACCTTTGTCATCCACGGGGCCCGGGTCGTGTCGGATGGAAATGATGGCTGGAGATCCAGGGATGATGAAGGCTTCAGGTGGAATCTCTCCAGGTTTCAGAGGCTGAGGGGGCATGTAGCCCTGTCCAGCGCCGTATCTGAAGTGCCAGCTGTTGCTGTTGACACCAGCACCCACTGGGGGGGACAGCTCTCCACCACCTTCTCCATCTAAGCAAACAAAACGAACAAATGAGAACATGTTAACAATAGATAAATACTCAATGGGAACTTGTGTTAATGAAGTTAAAATCAGGAGATGCATGGTTTCATATCTGTACAATTATATAAAAAGCAATCAAACTAAGTCCAAGCATTCCAAGGAAGTGCTGCTGTTCAAAAAAAATAGTCATTTAAAACAACATAAATGACAACAAATAAACAGTAAACTGTCAATGAGCAGTTTGTTCAAAATGTATATTAACTTTATCCTTAGCCACTTTCTGTTTTTTTAGAAGGGTACATCTACAACCGGTGAAACTCACATTAAATCAATGTCATATCAAACATGACAGAGTAGTTGTTTTAATTACAGAAAAATGTTAATGATGTTGACATGATTTTAACATAATTGATGAGCTGCAGCGGCTCGGTGGTCAGTCTTTTAATTTTGAGGCTGCAGGTTTGAGCTCAGGTTCGTCAGGAAAGGCATCAGGTTGAAAAACCATCGCTAAATGTTTCATGCAAGTTCACTCACTGTAGCAAAGAGAGCAGAAACACAGACAACAACATGAATTTAATATCAACAAAATAAAAAAAAATAATAACAAATGCTTAACTACGCCACTGACTGCACAGGAGATATCATCTGGTGATATTTTTGTTTACACAGCATAGAAGGCACTGCATCTTGTAAAATTAATTTATTTATATCTTATCAGCATATATCTCAAGATACATATTGCATGCATTGCATTTATTATGGAAATTTTCAGAACTGCAATGCAGTCTGCATCAGTGAAAGCAAGGTAAAAGAAAAAAATAAAGTGATGTTTAACCTGACAGTATGATTATCATTTGTTTTATTTGGGTGATAGCAGCAACATAACTCCACTCATGTAGGCGGCCAGAGACAGGGATTCAGCCTTTGATGCAAAAGCATGGGTGTGAAATGGAGAAGAGCCCAGATGGCAAGCCAAAAAAAGGGCAAAAGGGCGAGGGGGGGGGGGATGTTACAATAAATGAAATATATTGAATTAGGATCAAAAGGTCGAGCATTTTAGACTGAAAAAAGGGGCGTTAGATGAGATGAAGAGCGAGCGAGAGAGGATGAGAGTGAGGCAGTAAGAAGGATGGGGGTGGGCGGGTTTTTCAGACACGGTGCTCTCAGGCCCACACCAGTTCCCTTTGCACTGACCTACTTTCAGTCTGGATTTTATTTAGATCAAACATGAGCGTTCGCAAAAAGCCTTGTCTGTTTTTTTTTTCCTCTCTTTTGTAGGCTATTTATGAGATTGCTCGAGTGCTGGAATGGTTTTAACTAACGTCCCTTTGGGACAAACACTATTTTAAAAATTTGCTATGCCTGTACGCACGTTGTCTCATTAATTCCCTACAGCGAGCTCACCGAGCAGGAGACTGAAGCCCGTGCACTGACTACAACAGGAGTAGATGAAATGGACACTAATGTGCTAGTTGCCTAATAGTTTTGCATTGCTGCCACATTTAATCATTCCAATGAAAACCTGGGCTCATAACATAGACAAAAAACAAATAATTACAAAAATAATCATATTTGCTCAAAAACACAATGATGAAAACATCTACTGAGTTTAGTTTAAAAATAATAAAAAGACAATGTGTTATTTAATAACGTGGCAACAAATTCAATATTTAATGACTACAAGAAAAAAACATAAAAATC